CCTGCGGCTTGGAGTCTGCCGATCTGACTGTGCAAAAGGATATTTTTTGCACCCTTAGCAAGCAAATAGCGTGTGGCAGAGTTTAGAAATGAGGCATCCTGAAGCTGGAAGGTCGTTGCAGTTGCAGCTCCGAGGCAGTAACCCACGGGGAAGGGGTGTGTGTTTGCAAGAGGAGTATCTTTATTTAGTCCCGCTCCTGCCATTTCTGCTAGCTACAGCCAAATCTCTTTCCGGTTGCTGTGGCAGCAAAAGAGCTTGACCTGTTTCCATTTCCAGACTTGCCTTTGAAGCGTGAGGTTAGCAGTTTCACTTCCCTCATCTTCTTTGCTCCCAAAGGATCTAGGAATCATTTTTTCTGCTGCAGGTTGCTTTGGCTACTGCTCAGTCCCATGCCTGGTCCTGGCGAGGGATGATATGGGGGACATTCTTCTTTTCCTTTCTGCTTGCAGGTTTCGGAGCAGACGGTGGGACAGCCCAGACCCTTGGCCTCTTCCTTCCGAGGCCGGTTGGGAAAGGGAGGCAGCGGTTATGGATTTGCCACCTCAGGAGAACTGTACTGCATTGGTTTGCTGGGAATTGATAACGAGGCATGGTAGTGATTAGGGAAAATTCCCTTAGAAGAATTAAATCCCGCAGAACCTGATGGCATAGGCAGACCTCAGTCTCTGCCGAGATCTTCTTGTTGATTAATAGATTTATTTGGGTTTTATTCTGGCAGCAAGGTCATGATAAGAAAAAGCATAGTTTCAGGTAGGGTCTCTAAACTTCATATTCAACTCTTTCGTTGTTTATTTTTAAGAAATGAATTCATCTGGTTAGACATTTTTTCCCCTTTCGTTTAAGAAAAAAAGGCCAGCTGGCTAGCTTACTAACTCGAATAGCAGGTACTCCCCTCTTGTTTAACCTAGCCAGCGAGATGATGCTGGCATTGTTTTTTCTCCTGCAGTCATGAAAGGCAAGGATAATCGAATGGAAAGAAAACGCCTTTGTTCTTTGAAACTTGTTTTTGTGCTGCTCTGTTTGAAGCGCCTCTCGCCTTACGTTTGTGCTGCGTGTGACTCAGTGCAACCACTCGGTACTTCCCAGTTTAATTTTCTTTTTCTATAACTTTATTATAGAGGTATTGAAAAGCGGTCGATAAAACCAGTAGACTTGAGCGTAGCTGTTGACACATGCTGTGGTTCTGGGCATGCTGCTAGCATTTCATCTCCCCTATAACTTCCAAGTAATCTGCTGATGCCAAGGGATTTTTGTGTTGTTGTTTTTTTTTTTTTTCCAGGCCTTCTGTAGATTTCTGTAGCTGTCAAGGCGCCAGAGCAGGAATTTAATAAACTTTGTTGCTTGTGTTAGTCAGAATAGGAACGACATTTATGGACAAGCAGGTGCAATTCAGCTCTGTCCTCCCTGTAAGACGGACATTTTGAGTGGGAGTCTTGTTGGATGCCATTCAGGACCATTACACTTTCCTCCTCCAAAATGAAGGGGTTCTTTACATTTTCTAATTAACTTCTCTGCCCTCTCCTCCTTCTCATCCCAGGTCTATTCTGTATTCAGAGTTTTGGAGAGGTAGGAAACAAATGTCTCGTGCATCAGTTGCTGTGCTGTGTCACGTCAGGAAACTCAGGAATATCTATTGTGCCGCCCTGTTGCTTCCTCTCCTTCTGTTCTAATAATACCTCTTGCAGGAGAGGTATTCCATTAGGAATCCATGCTAATAAAGTCAATCTGGGCCATCCAAGCAGCTCCCTCTGAATCACTTGGAAAGGGTGGATTTAACAGGGTGTTACCAGGTCAGTGCATAACAACAGCCAGCAAGCAATTTTCTATCAGATAGCTTAGTCCTAAATTAGGAGTTGACTTAATTATGTCCCGGTCATGATGTTTTGATTTAATTCTGATTGTGGAGCTTCTTATTCTCTGAAAGTCTTACTGTTCTCGTTTCTGCCCTCAGGACCAAGGAAAAGGAGTGAATGCATCTTCTCATCCTTCCTGCTTCACTTTGGAGTCTTAAACCAGGAAAGCAACTGCTTTCCAAATTATACCTGTCCACTTTAAAGCTGTTTTCCATAACTAGCTTTGTGACCTCTTTCCCACAGATCTGTCTTGACTCGATACGTCGTGCTGCCACTTTTCCATGGCCAACATCAAAGAATACATAGCGGTGTCCAGGGACTCGCAGCTTTCCACAGTGATGGTGTTGCCTTGCTGTGCTTTGCTTAGTGTTGGGTGCTTCTTTAACCTGTGGCAGGTTCAGCTCTTGGGGAGATGAGCTTTGCTAACTAGAGGAGGAAGTTAGCAAACCCTGGGGTGTTTCCACCTTCCTGCGCCGTCTGAAGTTTGCGCTTGTGTAATAGGCTCGTTGCACATCGCTAACGCTGGAGCAGAAACAGATCCAAAACTCGCATGCAGAATTTCAGTAGGAAATGTGAATCATCTGATAAAATATAATTAAATGGAAATGCAGTTCTTTATTGGAGGTACAAAGTCATAGCGCTTGTCTGCTGAAGAAAGTAAGCTGAATTAACTCTTCAGTAGATTCAGCTTTTACAGGTCCCTTCTTTAAAAAGACAGAATTAGAGGAATCTTCTAAGACTTCTAAAGTGAATTAAGGTCACTTTGATTCTGAATAGAGGAGTTTGGTGACAATTTAACTCAGTTTAACATTGTACTATTCAGTTCATTGATACATCTGTGCTGGCATAGGTGACTCAGAAGATGTGTTGGATAATTTTTTTTCGTGCTTTATGGGGAGATATGTCATCTTCTCTGGGCCTCTGCGAGCGGGAGGATCTAGTCCATTGAGACGAAGGAGTTAGTGATGAGTGAACCTTAAAAACAGCAGGCTGGAAATGCAAAGCCTTTGGAGAGAAGTCAGTTCTTGCATATGGAGCACAGAGTTGAGGAAACGTAGCTGGGGTCTGCTTGAATAGATCAGAAAATCTGTTATTCTTGAGCAGACTGAAATGAAATTGCTTGTATTAGTAGCTACAGGGGTTGGCCCTGAGCTTTTGGAGACCTTGCTCTGGTTGGCCCTCCTTTCCCTGGGGGTCACTGCTGCATAACAGGCACAGTGTGAGGAAGCATTTTGGCCACTCTCGTCTGCAGTTTGGTGTTCAACTTAACGCTGAGGATAGTGGATTTCCCCTGGGCAGCTGAGTTGTGAATGCATGACCAGGAACAGGCATCGTCTCTCCTGCTAGCTCTGCCATGAGGATCCCTAGCTTCTGACAAATTAACTGAGTGAGTGCTTAAATGAAAACATTTGCTCCTGTAGTGTGCAAGGCCCGTTGAGTTGTTGGTGAGAGTAGTGGGAACAGGCAGGGAACTAGTGGCAGATGTGGTTTGCAGCAGGAACTGCTGCATGGGAAGGGTGGTTCTTTCAGACCGTCTTGGTTGGGTACTTGCAAGTATCCGTTTCACACCAGCGCCGCTTCTGATACCCTTTCCATTTCTTGAAAATATCTTGAAAAATGTTGTCTTTTAAAGATAGGAGATGGCTTAATGGTAAATGGGAAGAGTTGAAATCAGACGGGCTATGAATGGGCTTAATGTACCCATCTCTCTATCTCAAGGACCCGCATGCATCAAACATCGATCCCTTTCTGTTGAAGCTTAACTGTTCTGGGGCTTTAATCCAAGCCAGGCATCTTCTCTTTTTAATTTTGAGAGGTGAATGACAGAGAAGGCCTCCTTGGTTTTGTTTTTTATTTTCTTTGAATTATGCCCCTTACTCTTTAGTCTGTTTGCTTTATATAAAACTCAGCCTCCTTCTCCCCACTTCCCTCTGGAAAATTCTTACGGCAAGCGTTATAACTAGAGGGAAATAGGATCTATAGTAAAGGTAATATTTGAACTCCTAATTCCCTAACACCTTTTAAATTCAATGGGTGATTGAACTAAATCTTCACTCCCCTGCAAAGTGTGTGCATTGGTGCTCCCAGTTTTCCCTGGAATTGAGCTCCCGTTTCAGTTCTTTCAGGTCTTCTTTTGGAGACCTCCAGGGCCAACACAGAAGAAGAAACAAGCAGGAACAAGCTCCCTTTGGCCGAGCGCAGACACGTAAGCCCTTTGCCAGGGTTTCTTCTATAGGCTGCAGAGAGGCATGGGCACTTCTCAAGCACGGTTTTGTTTGCAGATATCCATGATCAGATGAACTGCTGTCTTGAAGCGCCTCTGATTATAAGAGTCTGAACAATTACCTTGATTGTAAATACCTTTATTGTCAATGTGCTCACTTCAGAAAAGCAAATCCATCTCTTTGGATAGTTTCAGAGTTTAAAACGAAAAGCCAAAAGGGTTGGGTGTTTCTCTTCCCCTTTGTGAATCACCTCTAAAGCATGTAATATTTGTTTAACAGTTTAGTCCAGCACTGAGGCTGGTAACTTCCTGGCTGCCACTGTTAGTACCTGTAATAGCCACCCTTCCTATGTGCGAATGTCCACGCCATGCCGGGTGCCCAGTGGCATTGTGCTGTCTCAGTAGCCAGGCCAAAGGCTACAGATTTTTCCATTAATTCCTTAATTTTCTTTCCCTCTTTTTCAGCCGGTGCTTATTAGTTTTCTAAGCGGGGATTGCTGCAAGATGCAATTATTGCTGGAAACAACCCAAATCTGTCAAAACTTAGCCACAAGGAGTTTGTCTGAACCCTGTGGAGCAGCTTAATTTTGGACAAGAGTTGGAGCTTAAAGCAGCAGCAAATGGAGAACGTGATTAAGCACAGCTGCTTGTGCTGAGTTAAAATTCATTATTCAGACTGGACAAATAATTTATTTCACCTTTCCTGTAGGAAAGATGCTTGATGCCTCATTTGTTATTGCTCCGCGTGTCTGATTCACTGCTGATAATTGTAACAGGCTCTAAGAAGAAAACATGATGGGTCCTAATTAGATGCTTCACTGGGTCCTGTTCCATCCTAAAAATCTGTAAAAGAGTTGTGAGAGCAGGTGAGTGATGAAGATCACTGGTTTGTTTGGGTGAGGGGTCTTCGGGGATCTTCTTTTGATGTTTTTTTTTGGTTTGCTCTTTATTGTCAACTGGACAAAAGCAGGTCTGTCTTGACCTGCAACAAGCAGAGGATATGCTTGAGGGAGTGATGGTTACATGTTGAAATTGTACATTTATAGGGGACTGTTATGGATCCTCCTTCTCAAGATGTACCTTAGAGCTACTCTCACCAAAACACTGTTGTATGGCATAGAAAAAATGATTTTTAAACCTTCCTGGTTTAGTCGGCTTGAGATGTTCTATACGTGTCTCGCAACCAGCTCCTTTGTTTGGGGACCTGATCATTCTCTATTCCTTTCATCTTTCTCATCTGTTATGTGGTCTTGTGTCTCGTTGAAGAAAAACATCCACCTCTGGCACTGTGCTTGGCTCTTGCCGTGCATCGAATTAGATCAAGCTCCGAATTACTTTTTGATCACTTGTCAGCTGAGACTTCAGTCGCTGTTGTCCAACAAGAATATCGCTGTGTAGATTTTCTTGGACTGAATCGGTCATTTTGTCTATTCCGGTTGAGGTCTGAGCTTGAATTGTCCTCCCTGCTTTTATTTCCATTGGCTTTTAGGGAAGAGGGTGGGTAGGCAGAGGTTTTCGTTTTGGGAAGGGCTGCCTCTGCCAGTTGTCAAGCTCAGCCTGTAGGATCTCGGGTGGGTGCCCTGCTGTGCTCCCTCCCTGTGCAAATGCCTTTATCTATGAGCAGATTTTTCTTGCTGTATCAAACCTGTGTTGCTTAATGTTTAGGAAACCCAGGGGTGTCCAAGGAGAAAGAGCCTTCTTGAGATACAAGGTGCCAGGAGCAAAAGAGAAGAAACGGAGAGAAGGTTTGTGTAGGAGGGAGAGAAAATCATTACTCCTCTTCTTTGTTCCCAATGGGCAGCTTTAAATATAAACATTTTGGAACTGTTTCCAAAGTGCAATCTGCCATACAGAATGACAGAAGGGGGAATCTGTAAGGTATCTCAGAAATAGCTTTTATGGCAGGATTATCATGTGGAAGGATTGTCGTGCATCAACCTGCAGGCAGGTCTCCTTAGGCAGGTGTGGTCCAGGGGATGGAGTGGACGTGAATGAGATGGTGATGCACAGAGGCTCTCCCCATTCCCACTTGGAGCGGTGGATCTGTCATGACAGAACCGTTTCCTCCTGGCTGCAGACATGCTTCCCTATGGCTAAACACCTGCTGCTCTTGTTGGAGGACCACCGCAGCAGGTGTAGTCCTGACCCTTGGACACGAGCTCGGCTCCTCTGATGACATTTCACTTAAGCTGGCTTACTTTCTCATTTTGCTGCAGGCCATAGATCTCCACCCGCAAGAAGTGGCCATCGTTGCGTGGCAGATAACGCCAACTTGTATGTGTTTGGAGGCTACAATCCTGACTATGATGAGTCTGGTGGGCCAGAGAATGAAGACTACCCGCTCTTCAGGGAACTCTGGCGGTACAACTTTGCTACAGACACCTGGCATCAAATGGGCACTGAAGGCTACATGCCCAGGGAGCTAGCCTCCATGTCACGTACGTGTGGAAATTCAATTCCTATGTGCCTACTCCTGAAGCTATTTTAATCAGTGTCCCTGGTGGAATGCAAAACCGGGCAAGAACTGGGAAATCTGGATCCTGTTTCCAACTCTTCTGCAAATAGGACTTGAGTTTGGGTTGGTTTTGTGATTTTTCTTTCCCCTTTTGCTCAGGTTGAGGCAGAGGGAAAGAAAAAATTTCAAATGCAAGAGGTAGACTTCAGGTATTTAGCTTGATAGTTGCAAGGCACGTGCACTTTCAGCAGCTAGGTGCTCAGTGCAGACATCTCAAAGCATCCAAAAATAGATCTCTTTGTTCACTAGCCATTTTTAAAAGTAGGCCTTTGGTTACCATGGTTTTAGCTTGCATTCTTTCTCTTTTAGAGCATTTCAAAGCCATAAATGCATAGTGTGAATGATAGGTTTTTTGAACAGTGTTGAAAACTGGCTGCCTACTGTCTCCAGAGCAGAGAGTCGTTCTGTTTTACTGCATCTCACAGCAACAAGTATCTCTGCTCTGTCTCTCTCTCCTAGTTGTATTGCATGGCAACAACCTGCTTGTGTTCGGGGGCACCGGGATCCCCTTTGGGGAGAGCAACGGCAACGACGTCCATGTCTGCAACGTCAAGTACAAAAGATGGGCTCTGCTCAGCTGCCGAGGAAAGAAACCCAAACGCATCTATGGTCAGGTATGAAGGACAGCCCTTGTTCAGGCACTTCAAGTGTGCCTGTCTACACTGTGCTCTGTGTTACAGAAAGGGGGCCAGAGCATGGAGATCTCTTCTCTGCTACTAACTGGAGTTGTTCTCTGTGTACATAAGTGTAAAGGAAGGCAGGTATCATTCATAAAGAAGTAGAGGGGTCTTGGTTCTTTGAGATTTCAAAGGAAAGTAATAGTTTTCTTGTAGTTAGAAAAACCAAAATCTGTTAACTAAATGCCAGATGCAGTTGAATGAAAAAGCGTGTCTGATGTAAGGAGTGGTTGGTAGTTTCTGGAGTTGCTCTGTCGCCTTCTCAAAGCCTTTAAAACCTACAACTATAAAAATAAACAGTGGTTAGCAGGTCTTATTTGTATTAGAATAACAACTTCTAAGACTTTCCATAAAGTCATGGATGAACGTGGTGTACAAAAAAATAGATTCACTCTCATAGGAGGACTGCCGCCTTTTGCGGTGCTTTCCAATAATACTGCCAACATACTTGTGGTGCAGACATTTATAACCCAACTAATTTCTCATTTAGATGTGCACCAGACACTTGGGCAAAGGAAAGTAGTCTTCCCCTTGCCCTGTTCAGCTTGAGCTAGCCTTTGGCAAACAGGCAGTTGCGAGCAGAAGGAGCTTCCATCTCTGCTTCCACCTTGGACTGCGTTGGGGAATGGTGCCTGCACCACCTTCACAGTTCCACTAGGCTGATAGTCCATCTGCTTTTGAACGGTACAGGCTGTCTCCGTTGTTCAGTCTGACTTACCCACTGCATTTGGGGCTTTCTCTGTTACGCTTAATGCCACTGGCTATCTGATAGCTGGTTTATAAGATTCTCTGTAACAGTATCTGTATAAGGTCAGGGTTAACTGTGCTTTGGTTTTAGCTCCCGGGAGCCCCTACTGCACAGATCTGTCTTGTCTGATGCCTGAAACTCAGCAGCTCCACTTCTAGGTCCTCATCTTGTGACCATGGAGTTACTTTCCATTCCTACAGATAGACCCTGCCCCCATCTTTTCTGTATCATCCTTGTTTGCCCTTCATGTTCCTCCAGAACATGTCATTTTGTAAGTTGTAGGTAGAGCTTTACAAGTTGTGTCTTGCTTTGGGAGGGTGGGGATTCTCTCTTTTTCAGACACTGATATCACGTGTCCTTTCTAACTGGTTTCTCTCTGTTACCTTCCAGGCCATGGCTATCATCAATGGTTGTCTCTATGTGTTTGGAGGAACAACTGGTTACGTTTACAGTACTGACCTACATAAGCTAGACCTCAACACTAGAGAGTGGATCCAGCTGAAACCAAACAATATGTCCTGTGACATGCCAGAGGAGAGGTGAGAAGCTGGACAGTCTCAGAGAGCTTTTACACAGGGGAGTCACCTCCTTTATGGACAGGCTTCTGGACACTCTTAGAACAGTGTCTTTGGCTGTGTGAACCTTACACAACCGGCGCTCCAGTAGTCTGGCACGCAGGGGGATGTAGGAATGGGGTGTGATGCCTTTGCCAGGACACTGATCTGGACTGTGTGGTGCCAGAACAGCACTGGGGACTTGTGGCAGCTGGTGAGTGCTGAGGAGGGGAAGAGGCACCAGCTGATCCCTGTCTGTTGTCCTATTCTGTACCAAGGCGTGGAGGAAGGAGGGCTGGGAGATCAATCAGTGACCATCTCAGTGAGAGAAGGGGCTGGAATATTGATGGCCATCATGGTGCTCCATAAATCGTTGTACTTAACTTCAGTGGTGCTCTGCTCTCAGAAAATGCCTTGCAAGCTTCTGGGGTGCTGCTTAGATTGCTCATGAAAGCTTCCACATCTTCTGAATGCTCCCAGCCTGAAGGACTGATACAGCATAGCCAGACTTGGGGTGTCTGCTTAAACCACTCAGATTTCATAGTGTTTTCCAGAAGGCTGCTGTCATTGCTCACTTGCACTAATTGCTTGTGCTGCTAAATGTCCTTCTTTGCACCTTCAGGTACAGACATGAAATTGCACACGATGGTCAACGGATATATATCTTGGGAGGTGGAACTTCCTGGACAGCTTATTCCTTAGATAAGGTAAGGCGGTCAGAAACCTGGGTAGGAGAGTTTCTACAGTGAAGTATAACCAGCATGGTCTCTTTGTCTGGCTTTGCCTGGAGAGCTCAGTAAAAAAAGTAGATAACTACGAGCAGATTGTTCTCCTGTTTCTCTAAAACCTGGTGTTGCCACAAACATGTCCTGCTGACTTACAGATGATGAATCTGTGGTACCCATTGACCATAGCGATCTGCAAAACAGCTTCATTTCTGTAGACCTGTTACCAAAGATTCTCATTTAAAAACACTTAGGACATCTTTCTAAATGTCGTATTTGTGCCAAACCAGGGAAGTGCCAAAGGAAGGAATTCCTTGATGTTAAATTCAGATATTGATACGGCGACTCTTTTCTTGTCTTCTACCTTAATCGTATGCTTTACTTGCCTTTCTTGTGGTAAACATTTTTCTCCAATACAATTTGAGGAGGGAAGAGTGAATTCATCTTGAACGCTGAAATGAGAAACGAGGAGACTTTAAATACTGCTCCACTTCTGGAAAAGTTGAACTGCAGCAGTTAACATGACTTTTTTATCTCTCCATTCTCTGCATTTCTTTTCTCCTTGCGTGCAGTACGAGATAGGTATTTCTAAATACTTTTGAGAACAGGAGGGTGTGGGTTTTAATTGGTCCTTTTTTTTTAAAAGCCATATTCTTTTTCTTCAGCTGTTTTAAATTTGCTTTAAATAGCAAAGCCTGAGATGAAAGCTTTAGTAAGCTGGTATGCTTTGAAGGTGATTTTATACCTGCTTAGTCACTGGCTGTGATTAGCTATTTTTGTTTTTACACTTAAAGAAAAAGAGGTGTTATTTGTAGCGGCTCCCTGGGTCAGAGCCTGTCACGGCATCATCATAGTGCTGGGAGAGCCAGGAGGAACTAATGGCTCCTCTTTGCCCCTTCAGATCCACGCATACAACCTTGAAACCAACACCTGGGAGGAAATTGCCACTAAACCTCATGAAAAAGTTGGTGAGTCTGGAATTTCATGTATTTTCCCCTGTAAACCAGAGAGTGGCCAAGGTGCTCGAAGATGCTGTTTGCTGGCAGGCTGAAAGCCTTTTTCCTAACCTTGTACAGTATGTGACTTAATGCTGGCTTCAGGACCCTGCTTGTGTATAGCTTTAGCAGTGAGGACTAACCCATCTGAAGCATATTTAGCAGTCTGGCTTCTCTCCCTCCCTGGGTGGGAAAGATGATAGTGGCTGGCTCTCCTCCCAGAAGAAGATACACCATCATCTCTGCTCCCTCTGAAGGACCACGTGCTGGCCTGGTCAGCAGCAGGGGTTTCCCTGAAACCTTGTAGGCCCTTGGCTGCTGCTTTTCACCAAGCCAGAGGTGAGAGCTGGAGTCTGGGGGGAATGAGATTCTGGCACATTTCTTCCTTCCCTGGAGAGCAAGCAGGAGTCAAACCTGAAACAGCCGGTTGCTAAATTAGAGATGTTATACCTGCGATTGTAGGAAAGCAGAAACCCCTTATAAATGAAACAAGTGACTCCTATCCATGATTATATGTTGAGATATAATCACCACTTGCCCAAGCACTTTAAAGCAACTATAGTTGATGCTCTTTTTTTTTCACTCTCCTCAGGCTTCCCAGCAGCCAGAAGATGCCATAGCTGCGTTCAGATAAAAAATGGTAAGATCTGCCTCTTGAAAATTGGTGTATCTTACACAACCTAGCAGTGACGAGCCCATCCTTCCAGCCTGAGAGATGCTGGCCTCCAACACATGTTTGAGAGAACTGCAGGGCACACGTGTCTCTTCTGGAAGAGGATTTCTTTTCTTGTTAACAGGCTTTAAGCTGCCCAGTTGGCACCACTCTTCATATGAGGGATCTCGATGCTGTAGGCAAATTTACTTCTGCACTGCACAGTACTGTTGCTGTCTGGAATTCTGCAGTATTTTAGGCAACATGTAAATCTCCTTCGGATGTGTGGCCACTTCAATGTAAGATATCATGTATTTTAGCCACGAGCGTCCACGATACTTTGCAACTTATTGGTTGCAAGCTCACTAACAGGTATAAATGATACTCCTGCTACAGCTCGGTTACTAACCTGTTAGCTTTACAGGCTGCTGTGAAAAACAAAGTGGGGCCAAGTGCCGGAAGCCACGTTCTTTAGAGACAAGATTGTTTGGGGATTTCTTAGATAGTGGGTCCTTTTCATGGTGTTGTAAATTCAAGATGCTCATCTGGAGTGGATTATGAGGCAGTTACAGAGTTAGCACCTGAGTCTTCCCATTCTCTAGTAAAGTGAGGGCCATTTTCATAGAATCATAGAATGGTTTGAGTTGGAAGGGACCTTAAAGATCGCCTAGTTCCAGCGCCCCTGCCATGGGCGGGGACACCTTCCACTAGACCAGGTTGCTCAAAGCCCCATCCAACCTGACCTTAAAACACTTCCAATGATGGGGCATCCACAGCTTCTCTGGGCAGCCTGTTCTAGCATCTCACCACCCTCATAGTGAAGAATTTCTTCCTTATATCTAATCTAAATCTACCTTCTTTCAGTTTAAAGCCATTACCCCTTGCCCTATCGCTACACACCCTTGTAAAAAGTCCCTCTCCAACTTCCTTGTAGTTTGTATTGAAGTTCATATTGAAGTTCCAGCATGTCTGGCACAGCAGCACTCAGCAGCAGCGTGACTTCATTCAGGCCACGATAGTCTACTGTTAGTCTCCACTCTCTATTGGACCTTTGCACCAGCCATACGGGACTGTTAAAGGGTGAGTGAGTCTTGCTGATCGCTCCTTGGCTCTCCAGTTGTCATGGCTTAACCCCAGCCAGCAACTAAGCACCACATAGCTGCTCACTCACTCCCCCCACAATGGGATGGGGGAGAGAATCAGCAGAGTAGAAGTGAGAAAACTCATGGATTGAGGTAAAGACAGTTCAGGCGTGCAAGCAAAGCGAAGTGAGGAATTAATTTGCTACTTCCCATCAGCAGGTGGGTGCTCAGCCATCCCCAGGACAGCAGGGCTCCATCACGCATAACGGTGGCTTGGGAAGACACCATCGCTCTGAATGTCCCCCCCTTCCTTCTTCTTCCCCCAGCTTTATATACTGAGCATGACGTCATACGGTCTGGAATACCCCTTTGGCCAGTTTGGGTTGGTTGTCCCAGCTGTGCTCCCTCCCAGCTTCTTGTGCACCCGGCAGAGCTGAGAAGTCCTTGACTCATGTAAGCGCTACTTAGCAACAACTAAACCATCAATGAGTTATCAACATTCTTCTGATACTAAATCCAAAACATAGCACTATGCCAGCTACTAGGAAGAAAATTAACTATCCCAGCTGAAACCAGGATACCAGTCAACGAATCACCTTATGGATGGGAATCAGGGAGTCTTGGTTGGTGCAGTATTGCCACCAGTGCACCGTTGTAGTGGCAATTGGCACATGTCTTTCTTCAACCCTCAGCAACCCCACAATAGAAGGATCCTTTGAGAGACCAGGCAAGGTAGACACCTGCTTAATTTCTTCTGCCTCCAAGGCAGCTATACCAAAAGCCCACCAGTACCCTTTTGCATGTTTGAAATGCCCTCTCCTGAGTTGCCAAGGATGCATGGAGCCTCTGGGCCAGTCACAACAGGGTGCTTTTGTCATTTATTCCCAGTCAGGCTCACTTTGGCCTCCAATACAGCTTGCTGTTGGGATCCCCCTGTCACTCCAGAAACGCAGATGGGTTCTGCCCCTGTGTAGCTTGATGACATTAGGGTATGCTGTGCACCACTGTCCACTAGAACTTGATACTTCTGTGGGTCTGATGTGCCAGGCCATCGAATCCACACAGCCCAGTAAACCCGGCTGTCCCTTTTCCTCCACCTGGCTGGAGACAGGGACCCTCTAGTTCTGGTCACAGATGCTCATGTTTTGTATACATGAGTCAGAAGTTCCTTCATTACAATCAGAAGTAAGATCAGCCCTTCTGTGCCGTCTGCAGCAACTTCAGTCTGCTCCAGCTCCGGAAATTGGAGCAGCAAGTTTCCTGGAAGAGCCCCCTTTTGTGATTGGTTTTTCTTTGCACCCCACATACCAGTGCCTCTAGGGTCGAGGTAGGTTTTCCATCCCATTTCCTCATGTCCTCTTCATGGTCACACACGTAAAACCATAGAGTGCCCTGTGGTGTGTACCCTCGATATCCTTTTTCTTGAGCAGAGGGACACTTACTCTAATGGCTGGAATAGATACTGGTCCATACAGGTGGGGAGTAGGACATATCCTTTTGGAGTTGTTCAGCCTTCCAGGACAGTTTCTCCACAGCAGAAATGAAGGAGGAAGAGATATTTTCTTCGTATTCCTGGAGTTGGAAGCCACTTCGTCCACTGTCGGTCCCTCTTCACCTTTCCAGTTCAGTATTACCAATGAGTTGGCATACGATGCTGGTGCACTCCGTAACAACTTATAATACTTCTGTTAATAACAACTTCTGTTATCAACATTCTTCTAGTACTAAATCTAAAACACAGCACTATGCCAGCTACTAGGAAGAAAATGAACTCTGTCCCAGCCAAAACCAGGACAGCCCCCTCCAGATACTGGAAGGCTGCTCTAAGGTTTCCTTGGAGCCTTTTCTTCTCCAGGCTGAACAACCTCAGCTCTCTCAACCTTTCCTCATAGGAGAGGTGCTCCAGCCCTCAGATTATCTTCGTGGCCTCCTCTGGACCCACTCCAACAGGTTTTATGTGTTAGGAGCTGCACGGAGCTTAGTAGAGTCTTTTGGTCTTCACTTTTATCCTCCAAGTATTCTTGCTGTAAATCACTTGCGCAGCACTGTTTGAGGCGCAGTTTAGAGAGGGCTCTGCATGTGCAATCCGTGGTCAGTTACCCACAATTTTGAATGGCAGCATGTTCCTTCAACTAGATTTGGGCCTCTTCCGTAGCCTCATTGTCCTCCCAAAAATGCATTCCCCCAAACTTGATAAAAACCAAATTGCTTCTAATGGACTGAAGAAGCAGTTACAATATTGATCTTTCTTTTCAAAACCCTTCAGATCAATTACTGAATGCTGCATGTTAAAGGGTGGAGTGATACGCCAGATTATATTTCTTAGGAGTGCTAATTGTGCCAGTAAAAGTAAGGCAGGAGCTGGGAGATGCTTCCAGTCATCTTTATCAGCAGTATTTTGCTGCAGTGCGAGCCTCTGTGTTGAGAACTTGGGCAAAGCCGGGGACCAAGGACCTGCCTCTGGCCCGCAGCAGGATGAGGAGCCGGGGCTGAGGCTGTTCCCTGTGGGTGTAAAACCACTAGAATCTGATCAAACCCAGGTGCCTGTGAACTCAGGTTAGCTAGGGCTTAATACAGCTTCTGAAAGTGGGCCTGCACTCCTGCTGTTCAATGCCATTTAGCCCTGAATCTGCCATGGTGGGGTTGGGATCATGGGCAGGCTGGGAAGTGGCCATGAGCCAGCAATGTGTGCTCGCAGCCCAACAAGCCAGTTGTATCCTAGGCTGCATCCAAAGCAGCATGGCCAGCAGGGTGAAGGAGGGGGTTCTGCCCCTCTGCTCTGCTCCGGTGAAGCCCCCCTGGAGTCCTGCGTCCAGCTCTGGGGTCCTCAGCACAGGACAGACATGGACCTGTTGGAGAAGGGGCAACAGTTTTAAACTGAACGAGGGTAGCTTTAGACTGGACATAAGGAAGAAATGTTTTATGATGAGAGTGGTGAGACACTGCAACAGGTTTCCCAGAGCAACTGTGGATGCCCCATCACTGGAATTGTTCAAGGTCAGGTTGGACGGGGCTTTGAGCAACCTGATCTAGTGAAAGGGAGTGGGCTAGATGGTCTTGAAAGGCTCCTTCCAACCCAAACCATTCTGTGATTCTGTAAGTGGCCCCCGTGGGTATGAACAGTGTGCTGGGACTGATTTGGGAGGTACTGAGAGCTTGTGTTGAGGTAAAATAATTGTTGATCCTAAAACTGTTTTGGAAAGGTGATCGCTGACTTCAGTCACCGCACGTTCTGCAGCTGAAGGATGGCTGAGCCTGTTAAGCACCGTGGGTTTCCCCTTCTACAGATGTGTTCGTTTGTGGAGGCTATAATGGAGAAGTGATTTTCGGAGATGTTTGGAAGCTGAATCTGCAAACTTTCCAGTGGGTCAAGCTCCCAGCTGCCATGCCGGAACCAGTGTATTTTCACTGTGCTGCTGTCACACCAGTAAGCGACTCATTTCTTTCCTATGTAGCTGAAGTTCAAGCCGTTCGTCCAAGCACTCTGACATTTGTGGGGGCTGCAAATAGAACTGAACCAATGCTACCAAGGAGGTGATCTCCACCTTATCCAGCATCTTTAGGGAGCTGAGGGCTGGTGTGAGGCTCCTTGTACTCCTGCTGCTGTTTAGAGAGTGGTAGGACAAAGTATATTCTGCTTTCTAAAAGTAGCGATGCAGAATTTTAACTTTTAAACTGTATCAACTCCAAGGAGTAATTCCATGTGAACTGTTCCTGTTTGCAAAAGGGAAAAAAGCACAGATACTCCCAGCTAAACTGGTTTTAACCTACTGAGAACAGCCCGAGTTGAAAGATTCGCAGGTGAGCAGCCCTCTTTGGAAACCACTGCTAATGGGAAGGTCGGTATTGCTAGCGCTTTCTGCCAGAACTAGAAGCTTAGAGACTTGTGGTTGATAAGCAGCAGGCGGCAAGAAATGCATTTAGCTGTGGCTTCAGCTGGATCATCGCCTTAGGGCAGTGTGCGAGGGCAGAGATCGGGTTCTTTGGTTGTAAGAGCAGTTGTCACCTAGTTTGGAGATTGTTATAAATGCAACTTTCTAGGAAACTGTAGGCTTGATAAAGGTGTTTCCCAGGCAGCTCGGTCACTGCAGGTGGGTCCCTGGACAGCAGGAAAAGAATGCCCTTTCTTTGCCTGTATTTTTAAAAAAAGGCAAAATAGGTCAGCAGCTGAGCTTTTCCCATCTCTCTGTGTTCATGTCATTCCTGGAGCAGGGTTACGCTGAGCCAGCAGAGGGAATGCAGCATGTCTTTGTATGGTGTGGTTTTAGTTTCAAAAAAACCCCCATTCTTTTTAGCCGAAACCTAAGTTCAATTCTATACTAATTTATTAACACTTTGCCCCTCTCCTAAAATCGATTTATCGGAATGGAATTCACCTAAAATACAGAGCAAAGCACTCTTAAGCTAGAGGATACTTGCTTTAGGATGAGACACACGTGCTCTTCAGCAGTGATTCCTCCACTTGGCTACGAGAGGAGCCCGGGGTGACTGGCTCAGCCAGTGACACTTCATTTACCAGCACATAAAGGTATGTGAGATGAATCTCGCTCTGTGATTAACCAGCTGGGAATCTGGAGAGTCCAATCCTGGTTTTCCTGACTGTGTCACTCCTCAGCACCTTCTGGTGTGCCAGTTTGGCCTGTGCCCCGTGTAACTCCCTCTCCCTCTTCCCACCTAGGCCGGCTGCATGTACGTTCACGGAGGTGTGGTCAACATCCATGAAAACAAACGGACTGGCTCTCTGTTTAAGATGTGGCTGGTGGTACCCAGCCTGCTGGAACTGGCATGGAAGAAGCTCCTGGAGTATTTCCCTCATCTAGCAACTCTCTCCAGATCTCAGCTTTTGCACCTTGGACTGACGCAGGGACTCGTTGAACGGCTAAAATGAGAACATCTCATGCTTCTGTCCAAGACACACTACATTCAAGAAGCCCCCTCCAACCCCCTATTTATGGATACCATGGATGGTCTTGCTAAGAACATGGAGGAACCCGCTCAACGCCTTACTTGGCAAATACATCGATGCCTTTCTAGAAATTTTTACTTTAAGTTGTTGAAAATCCACTTTTTATTTATGGATCTCTAAATGACACCATTAATCAACAATACTCTCTGGGACTAATCCATAGCATCGACCCATCAAACTGTCATCAGCACATGCTTGCAACTTAATTAGGGAGGGTGGGGAGCTTAGCAAATGTCTGACCCCATGCTTACACGTGGTGCATTCAACTTAGTATTTTCACAAGCTGTATCTAACGGAGGACACTCACTGCAGAACAGCCGACCTGTTCTTTTGCTTTAGATGACATCCCCCTAATGCCCAGCTGAGCCTCTCCCTCTATAAAACCGAGAGCTCCTGCCGCTTGAAGGCTTTGCATGTGTTTCAGGGGCACGTTCCCATCTCTTTGAGCTTCAGAAAACGGCTGGAACATCGCACGGGGCAGTGAGTGAAGCTTTGCCTGTGCAGCTTTTCTGGTGCAGCGTGCAGTGATTTGAAACACCCCATGTCTGTGTTCCTCACCTTTTCATATTGAAAGGTTTGCTTGGAAGACTGGTTAAAAGTTGCCACTTGATGGACTACTGTGTAGTTTACTCGAGG